GATGGCACAGCTTTAACCTCCACACTGAAGCTGTAGGCTGTCTGTCCTTGTGGAGTCAGCGGACTTGACTCCTCAGAGATCAGCCCTTGGACCTCACCAGCAGGGGTAGAAAGCACAGGTACAAGGCACCAGGAGACTCTCCAGAGAAGAAATGAAGTCAGTGGTCCTCTGTTTTAGATCGAGGTGGTGGACACCTCTGATTTCTGATGCCTGGAGCCACTTTACAGCTTTGGACTTCCTCGTTTCCACTGTAAGAGCTTTTGCTCCCAAAGATGAGGTTGCAGGGGTTATGTATCCAAAGACTATGGTGCTAAGATCCAGCCTGACAGGTATCTATTTCTCCATCAACTATTGGAGGTGCAGGTTGAGTATCCCTCTTCTGAAATGCTTGGAAGCAGAAGCGTTTCAGAAGCCACAAAGTCTACACAAAGCCAACTACAAAGTCTAGGATACTTGAATATATAGAGAGTGCATTCTTATTACTCTCATTCCCTACCCTCTCTCAACTTTTTATACTCCTGTCTACTTACCCCCCAAAAAACAACAACAACAACAACAACAACCCACTTCCCCACATTCCCATCTGTTTTGTTTTGTGACTCACTGAATTTAACTATAGCTATCTGCGTGACCATGGATGTTTTGTGTGTCAACTTGACACAAGCTAGAGTCATCAGAGGAAGGAACCTCAGCTGAGGAAATGCCTCCTTGAGATCCAGCTGTAAGGTATTTTCTCATTTAGTGATCAATGGGGGAGGGCCCAGCCCATGGTGGGTGGTGCCATCCCTGGACCGCTGGTCCTGGATTCTATAAGAAGACAAGCTGAGCAAGCCATGGGGAGCAAGCCAGGAAGCAGCACCCCTCCATGGCCTCTGCATCAGCTCCTGCCTCCCGGTGCCTGCCCTGTTTGAGTTCCTGCCTTGACTTCCTTCAGTGATGATCAGCAATGCTGAAGTATAAAGCCTTAATAAACCCTTTCCTCCCCGACTTGCTTTTATGGTCATGGTGTTTCGTCACAACAATAGAAACTCTAACTAAGACAGTGAGTGGGTTTAGAACTCTCCATTGGTGCACTTAGCAGTAGATACACAACTGAAGATGATTGCTCCCACATCTCCCAGAGTCTATTATAGCTATTAGTTTAGTAATGGGGGGGGGGGGCTCCTTAGCCCTTCCCACATCCATAGCTGATTATTGACAGGGCCAGTCTTATACAGGTCCAGTGCAGGTAACTACAGCTGCTGTGAGTTCATGATTAGAATGATTGTGTTGTGCCTAGATGACATTTGCAGTCCTTTTCCCTGTCTTGCAGCTCTTCCGTTCTTCCTGATCCCTCGTCCTCAGGGTTCCCTGAGCCTCAGTAGGAGTGGTATCCATTTTGTTTTAGGGGTGTGCACTCAGACATCACTTACTCTCAGTACCTTGGGCAGCCATGAGTCTCTGCGTCCACCTCCCCCCATTCACTGTAAAGAGAGGCTTAGCTAAGGCTAAGGGTGACTCTTGTCTGTTTGTGTAGAAGAGGTGCTTAGTTATTTTAGTTAAACAACAGTACTGTGTTATCCCCTTGGGCCTACGACTCCCCCAAGTGTGGATTGTTGACCTGGCTTACAACACTAAGCATGAATTCCTTCCTGTGCAGTGGGGCTCCAGTTGAATCAGAGGGTGATTAGTTGATTACATGACAGTTGTGCCATTAGTACACAGGTGGGTGCCTCTTGCCTAGAACGTTGGTTGGTTCGGTAGTTAGTAAGGTTCCTAGCTAGGTGTCCTGTGATGCCTTTTCTCTCCTAGTTGCCTGCATGCATCACAACTTCTGGCTCTTTGGAAGTTAACCAGGAGAGAGGAAGTTTCCAGCTGAGCTCCAGCTTTCTCTCTATTTTATAAAAATGTGTGTAGAGTCTTCAGCAACAGGGTCTTACACTCAAGTTTTGATTGGCATCCAGGAGGACTGACAAGAGCCTGAGTCATTTGGGGGCCTGACCAGCTCTTCAAGGTACCCAACACCTGGCACCTGGAATTTCATATGGTGACTCACTGCTTCCAAGAGAAATGTTATCAAGCCATAATGGGTATCTCTCGTAAATCTGGCTTTTATATTTTTAACTTTGATTACAAAATAGTATATTAACCCCCTATCCCTCATCTACCACTCCCTCACCCCACTTAGACATTTCTACCTCAGTGTTGCCACTCTCTACTTTCCTATTACCTGGCTTCTAGTCCCCTCCTTTTTTGGGTTATGGGTTTTGAAGAGAAACCCTACACACAGGGTTTCTCGGTGTGTAGCTTTGCTGTCCTGGAACTCACTCTGTAAACCAGGCTGGCCTTTAACTCAGAGTCTCTGCCTCTGCCTTCCAAATGCAACGATTAAAGGCGAGTGCCATCACTGCCTGGCTTTATAAACTGCCCCCCATCTCACCACCACCACCCCTGCTCCTTTAAGGCATCCCCACATCCTGATTTCCTCTTTCTAGTCTCCAGGGTTCCAGGTTAAAGCTAAGGAGTGGAAGCTGGGATTCACATTTGAAAAAAGACTGTGACATTTCTCCTGGCATGGGTTATCTCATTCAGTATAATTTTTTTCCAGTTCCAGTCATTTACCTGAAAACATCATAATTTAATTTTTCTTTATAGTTGGATGAAATTCCATCATGTATTTGTACCGCATTTTCATTATCCATTCATCAGTTGATGGGCATCTAGGCTGCTTTCATTTCTGTGATGTTGTGAATCAAGCAGCAGTGAATGTGGCTGTGCCAGTATCTCTGTAGTGTGATACGAGATCTTTTGGGCATATGCCCAGGGAATATTTAGCTAGGTCATCTGCTAGTTTGATTTCTTGTTTCTTTGTTTGTGAAGCCCTATTTCCAAGGTGTCTGTACTAGTTTACGATGAAACTGGATCTCTGTCTCTCGTCCTGCACAAAACTCAGCCTAAGAACTGATACCCTGAAACTGCCAGAGAAAGAAGTAGGGAGTGCACTTCAATAGTTAGAGACCTTCTGAATAGGACTTGGGGAAACACGGGGACTAAGACTAACAGTGGAGAAATGGAATCTCCTGAAACTAAAAGGCTTCTGGACAGCAAAAGAATCTATCAGAATAAAGAGGCAGCCTGCAAAATGGAAGAAAAAAATTCCATCTGTATATTGGGCAGAGGATTAGTATCTAGAAAGAACTAAAATAAATAAATAAATAAATAAATAAATAAATAAATAAATAAATAAATAAATGTGAAGACAACAATCCAATTTAAGAGGGGTTGTGGAATTAAGCAGAGAGTTCTTAAAAGAAATGCAGATGGCTAATTAAAACTTCTGAAAGTGTATCACATCCTTAGCGCTCAGGGAAATGCAGATTAAAGCTACTTTAAGGTTTCGTCTCATGGGGCTGGGGTGCTGGCCCAGTGATTCAAAGCACTGACTGCTCTCGCTGAGTACTCAGGTTCGATTCCCAGCTCCCACATGACAGCTTACAACCATCTATAACTCCAGTCCAAGGGGATCCAACACCCTCTTCTGGTCTCCATAGATACCAAGTATGCATGTGGTACACAGACATGCATGCAGGCAAAACATACATACACATAAAATGTTTTTTTTTAATGTTGGATTAAAAGATTCCATCTCCAGTCAGAATGTCTGTTGTCAAAAATACAAATAACAAGAATACTAGTCTCATAAGATGAATTGTGGGATAGTCTTACTACCCTTGTCTTCTGTGAGAATTTGTGTAGAATTTGTATTATTACTTAACTAAGTGTTTTATAAAATCAACCAGTGAACCTTTAAGGGTCTGGAGGTTTCTTTGTGGGAATTACTTTTATGCGCTGATTCTTTAATGGGCACAGAAATTCAAGTTACCCATTTCTTCTGGGATGAGCTTTGTTTCTGTGTCTTTGAGGTGCTTGTCTTTCCTAAATTGTTGAAATTGTTGGCCTAAAGTTCATAGTTACTTTTAGTCCTTTTGACATCTGTAGGCTCTCTAGTGATGACTCCTTTTTATCCTTGATCCTAATGATTTGTATCCTCTGGTGAGAGGCTTATTAAGTATATTGATCTTTACAAAGAATTGGCTTTTGTTTTCATTGGCTTTGCTCTTTTATGCTTGTCCATTTTCTATTTCATTCAATTTATGCTTCTGCTGAGTTATTTCTTCTCCTTACTTTTGACTCAGGTTGCTTATCATTAAGCCTCTATTTAAAATGGTTTATGTTTTATGTGTATTTGTCTGGGTGAGTGAATGCCACATGTGTGTGAGGTGCCTGTGGAGGCCAGAAGAGGTCATTAGATCCCTTGGAGCTGGAATTACAGGGCTGTAGAACACACTCAGGCCTTCTGGGAGATCAGTATTTATTCTTAACCTCTGAGTCATGGCTCCAGCCTATATAGAGACTTCCTGTGGTGTGCTCAGTCCATGTGTGTTCCTGCCCCTAACTCTTTTATTCTCAGTAACAGTTGCTAAGAGAAGTAAGTCAGATCCCTAGTAGTAATTTGCCCATTTTGTGTTAATTCAGTTTTCACTTTTGTGTTTTTAGACTTCCATAGTCTAAGGAAATTGGTCACTTTATCATCATACAGATTATTTTATTTTGCCTGGCAGCAGTCTGATTATCTAGTACCCTTTAAAGAAGTGAGAGATTGTGAGACACTTTGGAGCACTTAGAGCGCACACGAACACTTCAGAGCCGTGCTTTGTGGCTGTGGTGGGTGCAGGGCTCCTGGAGGGCTCATGCTCTCTAAGCGTCCCCTATGTCCTGGCCTCTTCTCTGTCATCTCTATAGTCCTTCCCGAAGTTGTGTGGTAGCCATACCATTGTCCTCAGTTTCCAGAGTGTGCAGATGAGGCTTTGAAAGCACAGACCGTTTCTGAGAAGCCTGAACTCAGCTCCCTGTGGCCATGTGTTGCTTTTCCCCTTGCCCCCACGTACACATGTTCTTACCTTACTCTTCAGCTTCCTCTTACCCTTCCAAGTGACCCGTTATTCCCACTGTGCCTGCAGCCGACAGTGAAAACAACATCACCTCCAACCAGTCCCGATCTCCACCTGCTGCAGTGGAAGAGAAGTGGAAACCTCAGGCCCAGAGGAACAGTGCCAACAACAGTAGGTCTCAGCATGCTGGAGCCTAGGGCTCCCAGAAGCCCCACTGCAGCTCTGTCCTTTCCCCTGCTGTTACCATCTCTACCTCCCGTGGGTCTGAAGATGATGCATACAGCTCCAAAGCATACTTGTACTTAGACTCGGGCAGGAATTCTTAACTTGTGGGTAGGTGAAAGGAAGCCAGGAAGAAGGGGTGTGTGTGTGTGTCCAAAGCACTACTTAATACCAGAATCACAACTAGAACCTCACATTTTCAGTTTATGTAAGCTTTTTTATTTGGCACTGACCCTAAAACACGTTAGTTACTAAAGATTCCTATGTAATTCCTGTTGAAGAAAAGGTTGTATTCAAAGGTTTAGGTGTTTGGCACATGTGACAAGTATGTTGCACACATATCACTATATACGATTCTTATGCCCATGGCAGGCATTATCAATCAATCATAGAACTTTATCCCTAAGGTACTGTCGACTGTAAAAAGAAGACCATACCAATTTGTATGCAACACAAAATCTATTTGTTATTCTTCATACTAGCTCTTTAGGGTGTTGTTGCAGCCGGGTTAAGCAGCTTTGAATGTCAGAAGTAATCCTTTTTCTCTTTGTGTCCCCTGCCAGCCACAACTAGTGGTTTGACACCCAACAGTGTAATCCCCGAGAAGGAGCGGCAGAACATCGCAGAACGGCTGCTGCGGGTCATGTGTGCTGACCTGGGTGCACTGAGCGTGGTCAGTGGGAAGGAGTTCCTCAAGTTGGCCCAAACCCTGGTAGACAGTGGCGCCCGCTATGGGGCCTTCTCCGTCACCGAGATCCTGGGCAACTTTAACACATTAGCACTGAAGCACCTGCCACGCATGTACAACCAGGTGAAGGTGAAGGTGACATGTGCCCTGGGCAGCAATGCCTGCCTGGGCATCGGTGTTACATGCCACTCCCAGAGTGTGGGCCCTGACTCCTGCTACATCCTTACAGCCTACCAGGCTGAGGGCAACCACATCAAGAGTTATGTGCTAGGTGTGAAGGGTGCAGACATTCGTGAGAGCGGTGACTTGGTGCATCACTGGGTGCAGAACGTGCTGTCAGAGTTTGTGATGTCAGAGATCCGGACCGTGTATGTCACCGACTGCCGGGTGAGCACATCCGCCTTCTCCAAGGCTGGCATGTGCCTTCGCTGCTCAGCCTGTGCCTTGAACTCAGTGGTGCAGAGTGTGCTGAGCAAGCGGACGCTGCAGGCCCGCAGCATGCATGAGGTCATCGAGCTGCTCAATGTGTGTGAGGACCTAGCAGGCTCTACGGGCCTGGCCAAGGAGACCTTTGGCTCTCTGGAGGAGACATCACCACCACCCTGCTGGAACTCAGTGACCGACTCGCTGCTTCTGGTACACGAGCGCTACGAGCAGATCTGCGAGTTCTACAGCCGTGCCAAGAAAATGAACCTCATCCAGAGCCTCAACAAGCACTTGCTGAGCAACCTGGCCGCCATCCTGACGCCCGTGAAGCAGGCAGTCATAGAGCTCAGTAATGAGAGCCAGCCCACCCTGCAGCTGGTGCTGCCCACCTACGTCCGGCTAGAGAAGCTGTTCACAGCCAAAGCCAACGACGCAGGCACGGTCAGCAAGCTGTGCCATCTCTTTCTAGAAGCACTCAAGGAGAACTTCAAGGTGCACCCAGCCCACAAGGTGGCCATGATCCTGGATCCTCAGCAGAAGCTTCGGCCAGTGCCACCCTATCAGCATGAGGAGATCATCAGCAAGGTGTGTGAGCTCATCAATGAGGTGAAGGAGTCCTGGGCTGAGGAGGCCGACTTTGAGCCCGCCACCAAGAAGGCACGTTCAGCCACCGGCGAGCACCCCACAGCTCAGGAAGATGACCGGCTGGGCAAGAATGAAGTATACGACTACCTTCAGGAACCCCTCTTCCAGGCCACTCCCGACCTCTTCCAGTACTGGTCATGTGTGACCCAAAAGCACACGAAACTTGCCAAGCTCGCCTTCTGGCTCCTGGCTGTTCCTGCTGTGGGGGCTCGAAGCGGGTGTGTAAATATGTGTGAACAAGCACTTCTGATCAAAAGGAGGCGGCTGCTCAGCCCGGAAGACATGAACAAGCTCATGTTTTTGAAATCTAACATGCTTTAAGACTCAACTTTGGGGAACAACAAACAAACAAAAAAAAGACGAAAAGAAGAAAAACGTTAGGAAAACACACACAACACTGTCACAAAGAAATTTAAGTTCTAAACACTGTGGAACCTCATTGTAAATGCCCCCTGGAAACTTAAGTGCTTTTTTTTCCAGTGTGTGTGTATGTTTGTGTGTATGTATATTTGTGTGTGTATGTGTGTGTGCACATGTGTCCACACCCACACGTGACATTTTGTGTGGGTAAAGGGTATGGGGAGCTCATGCTTAAATGCACAGCCAGAGAAGCTCCACACGTGCATATGCGCACATGCGCACACACACACACATACGCATGCACACACACACACATACACACAAACCTGGTGCGTGTATGCATGCCTGTCCTCGGGTGTGTGTGCATTGAGCTGGGTGTGTCAGGAAAGCTGAGAGACTGGGAAAGCAGGATGGCTTCACTTTCCTTGGGCAGGGGCTCTAAGGACTCCGTTTTCAGGTGTGCAGATTGGGAGAAGCTGAGATTGTGAAATGTTCAGGCAGCTGAGGGCTGAAGTGGCTTGAACTCCCATCCTCGACCCGAGCCCTTCCTTTCCATTCCTCCGTCCCTTCAACCCATGGTACCCATCCTCTGGCCCGGCTGCTCTGACAGACTCTCCAAACTGCATCAGATGGACAGTTTCTGCACTGGACTTCATTTCTTGTTTCACCTTCAGGGCATTAAGCTGCTGTACCCGTGACCTCCCCTTGGATGTCTGGGTCAGCTGCCTTAGAATACACACTATCTATCTCCCCAAATCAGGAAAGGAGACTTTAAAAATATAAAGCTGATGTTTTACTTTTTAATATAAGAGAGAGAGAGAAAGGACATTTTTTTTTCCAGAGATGTATAACTGACTCTACACTCAAGGTTTTTTTCATTTTGTTTGTTTGTTTGTTTGTTGTTTGTTTTTTTTCCTCCAATGCTTTAGCAATTTTTTTTATCGTTTGGGGGATTCAATTTCTTTTCACATTGACTTAGACTCTGCTGGGAGGCACTGAATATCGTAACTTATGTTCTAGAGTTTTGTTTCGTGTTTTTCTTCCCCTTCTAGTGCTCAAGTCACACTGTAAACTAGCTCATCTCAGTGGTGGTATTCAGGACTCACAAAACAAAGATCAAGGATATAGCTGTGTGTCTGGAGTAGGGAGTGGAGAGGAGACGTGGTTCTTTGACTGTGGGGTTTGGTGGAAGCCATAGTGGGCAGCATGTGGCTTTTGGGGTCCTGAATGTCAACGCGAGAGCTGCTGCCTGGTTCCTGCCTGTGGTAGTGTGAATGTCCACCTCATGAATGTTTGCCCCTTCCTGCTGCTCACCACATGCTGACCTCCAGCTCTGCGGGGACTGTGATTTACTCACTCCACATTTGTGTCTACCAGACCCACAGTCCCTCTCCCTCCCCAGACCCCAGGGGTTCTGGGAGCTTATAACCCTCAGAGGTCCTCACAGGCACCTCAGACCTGTAGTCAGGGCGGTGGTGGGGCACAGTACGTTGCTGGCTGAACATCCTGTGGGTGGATGCGCTTGATTCGATGCTGTGAAAGGGGCTGTTAGCCCTCACTCTGATCCCCCTGGCCAGGAGCTAATGTTTCTACACACAGACCAGATGCCAAGAGGGGACGCCATTCTCTTCCGAGGATGACGGGCACAACCACCCCATAAATAAAGACCTTGGTATCCCTGATTCTTCAGTGACCACAGCTGTGGGATGGGGGTGCATACACATCAGGCTGAGAATGTCCACCCCTGTGGGGCTATTTGCAAAAGCACCTCTACCACCTGGGGCTTGGACTGCCCTCCTCTTCTAGTCATAGAGCATTATTCAACTGAAAGATACCTCGACTTCAAAAAGCACTGTACCCATGGCCCTCTCCCCCCAGTCCCCAGCAGGACAGGAGTGAAGAGGGATTTAAAGACACAAAGGCTTCCGGTTCTCTTCAAGGTTTCAGAACACTGTCCTTGAGGACTAAGCCTGCACTCCCTGCCTCACAAGACGAACCCAGCTCTTCTGCAGAGTCTCAGATACACAGATAAATCAGAGAAGGCGATACTCACATTCACTCCAGCAAGCTATGTTCTCAGGAACCACCATACACTCTCTCCTCCAGGGGGACTTCCAGGCATTTTCAGCACAGTGTCTTCAACTTGGGTCTTAACCATCAGAGGAACCTCTGTCCACAGTGGAGAAATCTAGACAGGAACTCAGAGTCGCTCCCTGAAGAATGAAGGAATGTCTTCAGACTGCTTGGGGAACATTCCAGGAGGTGGGCTCTGGATAGCTAAGGGACAGTCTCCCTCAGCTGTTGGGGAAGGGGACACAACCTGGCACTTGTAGCCACACTGGGTGCTGAGTGCGGTCAGTGAGAACAGATCCTCAGGCAGAGCTGGTTTGAGCTGCTGTTAGTGGCTGACCATCAGCCAAGCCCAGATGTACATTTCAAGCATTCTTTTCGGAGCATGGAACATTCGCCCTCCAGAAAGAACATTAGTGTGAAACTCCAGGCTCCTGGTCAGAGGTCGTTACATCCTGTCCAGTTCATTGGCATCCCTGGGCTGAGATCGCCTCTGTAGGTTCAATGTGAGCCCCAGTCAGTCCTCAGAAACCTGTCTCCCAGGCTGCCTCGTCCTCACAGATTATAAGGTGGCAGGCTGTCAATCATTTCTCTCTAGTGTCATCAACCAGAAAGACTGTGCCCGGTGTCTGCTGTCATGTGGGCCATCTCACAGTGCATGCACATCCTGCAGCAAACAGCTCAATAAATCCCAAAGATCTCCCAGGCCCAGCCACAGGCCCCATCAACAGCAATAGCCACCTTACCAAATTCTACTTCAGCCAAAGCACTAAGATGGGCTCTTCCAGTTCCTCTCCAATGGCCTGGGCTGGCCTTGACCTTCAGAAAGATTTTGTCATCTGCCTCCTGGTTCTGTGACCACTAAAGGTCTTCACATCATAGGCTTTTGGGGTCTGGGAGACCAGGAAGCTGGGCCATTTCTGTCCTGTTCTCATAGCTTACCTCAAGCTGTATGATTCCCTGGCCAAAAATGGTCTTTGCTTTGACATCCCTGAATCCAAACATGGAAGTAGAGAAGATGCACTTCCGTTAGCAAGGTTCTCCGTGAATCTGAGGTCACTTTGTTTCCCCCAATGAAGCCCAAGCCAAGGCCTGCAGCTTGTTGGCCTGGGATTCAACATTCAAGAGGTCTCAGGTCTGTGAGGAGTCGTTATCCATGGAAACACTTGTTCTCAACGTGACTCTGTTCCCAACACCCAGGTCTACCTGCCAAGCCTCCCTTGCATGGCATTCACCAGGAAGCAAGATGGGTGCTGAGCACAGCTGTCTGTGTTTCATCCCTAGGGGTTGCCTGCACAGGAAGCCATGGGCCACAGCACATATGATGTCACCATCCCACTTGATGGCTTCACATTTGGCCTTGTGGGGCTGGCTCTGGGCTGAGGGAAAGGTACCTGTCTCCTGGTGAGAAGGGCAGCTGGTAATACTGATGAGAACTCAGCTCCAGGATTTTAGGAAGGAAGAATCTTCATTTCAGTTTGACAGATTTTATCTCCTGCACTTTGAAGAGTTGGAAGAATTCTACAAGGCATGTTTTCCACTGTGAAGCTTTGGAGCCCAAGGTCCCCTATTTTCCTGGCCTCAGGCTAGGCTGCCCAAGGAGTGGGGACAGCCGAGGAGAGTCTGGGCACCATACATACTCACCCTGAGGACACAGGGTCACCAAGAAGGATCAAAGCTGGGACGTAGGTCAAGGGATACCCTGTGAGATGCCACCCAGACCTTGCCCTGTCGTGCTTGAAGAGGGGCCCTCGGTATCCATGAGCTGGGCCCAGCCCCGAGCTGCCTGGCCTTGACAGTGCTGTGACACTATTGTGTCTGGAATATATCTAGAGGAAGGCTTCTGGGGGGCAGGACCAAGAGACTGAGTCTCAGGCTATACCCTGGAGACAGTGCACAGGGCTCCAGTCCCCAGGGCAGTGGGAGAGCTGGCAAGGAGGCCGGCCCTCCCTTTCACTGTGGCTAATGTTTGCTAGGCCAGTTATGGTGAACCAATGATACAGTGTTCTCTCTTGGGTTTCCTTCCTGTCTCCCCTTGACAGGGGCTCCAGGGGGATGCTATGGCTGGGGTGGTTTGTTTGTTTTTTTTTCCTGTCTCCTTTGGATCTGAGGATGGCAGTCTAGAGAGCCCTGGCTTGGACCAAGGGAACCTGTGGTCTCTGAGCAGATGTAGTCCTCACATGGAAGAGGGTGGCACCTTCAGGGTTCCACTCCCGTATGGGAAGTTGACAAGGCTTAGGGTTGGCATGAGCATCATGACCCACCAAGGTCCTACCCACCCAAGCATCCCATTGGGCACCTTGACTCTTTGAACCAAAGTTCCTAAAGGGCACAGCCTGGCCTTGTCCTTCGGGCCTGAATTTGCAGGCCAGCCAGAAGGGGGGCTCCTCCCACAACCCAGGTGCCCGAAGGCTCTCCTGGGACCCTTCTCCCACCCAGCCAGGGTGGGTGGCTTCCCAGGCAGGGCTCAAGCTTGTGGCCCGATGCAGGCTGAGGGTCTGGCCAGCCAGGAAAGAGCAAGAGCCATGTGGCAGGGCCTTCTGGACCCCAAGCATCAGGAAACCATTTTGTACAACAACCTGGAGCAGAGATATTTTTTAAGAGGCATGAGTTATTTTCAGTTGTCTCCTGATCCTGTCTTTTTTTTTTTTTCCTTTGCCCCACAACTTCATGTGGGTGATCCGTTCACATCAGGTAAATCTTGAGAACGCCTTGGTGCCCCCATCCCTCCTGCCCTCCTACTCAGTGACCACATGTGTGCGCCCCCATCCTGTCTCAGTAGTAAAGACGTTCTAGGCAATACCATAGACACATCCGTGTCTCGCTTCAAGTGCAAGAAACTCAAGTCATCTTAAAAAAAAAAAAACTAAAAACACAAAAAAATTTACAAAAAAGCAAACACACACACAAAAAAAATATCTTTTTTAGGCCAGAGTTTTCTACAGGTATTAATGAATATTTTTCTTAATCCTTATAAGTTTTATGTGTTTAATATTTCTTAATACCAGTAGCATTAATTTATACTTTTGTAGCAACATAATATTTTTATAAACAGCCAGCGCTTGGCTCAAGTCTTCACGGGGGTTTATGCAGGGCTATCTTAGGGACCCTGTGTACCATGTACTGTATTTAAAAAAAAAGTTACCTAGTGTCACACTTGCTGTGTTAATTAACAAAGATGTCGGTGGTCTCCTGTATCGATGGTGTGGATCCAGCAGTCCTTCAAGGAGCCACATTGCATGGGGGTTGAGTTGCCGGTTCTTGTGATACATAAACTCCCAAGGCCAAACTTGCGGGTTTCTTTAGGGTTTTATGTGTGTCCTTTGGGCTGTTTTGTTTTGGTTTGGATACTGTTTCTCCATTTTACAGCCAAGTCGATTTCATGATGTTTAAAAATTTTACTGATGTTAAATGGAGGAAAGGGACAGAAAAAAAAATTTTAAAAAGAGAGATTTTTACAAAGTAATAAAATTTAAAACTGAGCTGTTTCAATGTTGCTGTTTTTACCTGTCTGTTCTTGTCCAAAAGTGGAATGTTCCCATGGAGAAGAAAAAGGTTCCACTGCATTCCTTAAGTCACCAAAAGCCCCAGCCCAAGAATCAGTTCCTCCCCCGACTCCCAAACCATCTCCCAGTTGGTTGATGCCAAGGCAAAAAGACATCCTTTCAATGACTAGAGGATCAGTCGCCTAGTGTGTTCACAAGTTCATGTCAGTGTTGTATTTATGGTTTTACAATAAAACGACTTTAGGAACCTCCGGTGTGTGATGTGTTTCTTAGGGGTGGAGCTGGGCCATGCCATCCACTTAGCACAGGGCTGGGTGAGGAGGACAGGTCAGGCACCAAGATGGCTTGAGCCTGTCATACTCTGAGGTCATACTTGCCCACTCTTGGGGTCACTGGTTGTCACAGCATAGACCTGGCTCAGCCAGTGTTTAATGGCTATGAGAGACAGTTTCCAAGGAGACAGTGACCTGCTGTGAGATGGCTTGAAGAGGTTTGTTTCAGAATAAGGGATGGAGTTAATCAGTCCTGCTGGTTCAGTACATAAGGCACACATCATAGTGGGCCTGAGCTGGCCCCTGAGCTGTCCATGAGGATCTTGTACCTCTAATACATTGGCCAGAGTCCCCCATGCAATATATGTGTGTTAACAACTGTCCTATGTACCATTCATTTCCTGGGGAAGACTAGCCCAGTCTTGAAAGCATTGGGACTCTACACACACCAGAGTTGGCTCCCACAACTTGTTCAGGGCTTGATGCCACATATGAGGACATTCATGCTTTTCTTCTATAGACTCAAAGTTGAGGGAGAAAAGATCACACCAGAAAATGAACTGAGGCCTATGTAGAGGATAGAGTGCCTTAAGGGAGCCCAGCATGGAAAGGCTGCTTCTTGGTCTCCAGGTAAGTAAAGCCCAGGCCCCTCCCACCTCAGGCTCCACCCATGTCCCAGACTAGTGGAGGGTAACTCCACTCTAAGAAGCTGAGTCACTTGAGTCTTCTAGAAAAATCCTGTCAAATTATTTGTAGGTGTCATCTCTAAACTTGGGCCCTTCCCAGAGGGCAACAGCCCTGCCCTGCAGGCATGCCCCATGGAAGCTTCTCCAAGGGAACCATGGACCTCTGTGTGCCAGCAGGTAAAGTTGGTGCACAAGTTTCTCCATGGCTGCCATTATCAGGAAGTCAGTGGCATCCACAGATGTGCCTGAATTCCCTAGGCCTTGAGGGTCAGATAAGGCCAGGTCATGGCTGGTGGACCTCACCAGTGAAGGGCCAGCCTCTGGGTTATATGACCATTTAAGGTGTTTATTAAGCAGCTGCATGTGTACTGTAGCAAGGAAATCTGGTTAGTAACCACCAAAATCCCACAGCAAGACTGGAGATGCTGTGTGACTCTTCACGGTAAGGGCCAGCTTCCCGGGAATTAATCTTGGTCCCTTTTGAGATGAGTGGTGTGGATTTCTGGGACTAAGTTACAGGCAGGCCTCACCCCATTCCAGCAGAGGATAATTGTGTTGTTAGGGTACACCATTGTCCCTTTAAAGCTGCAGCAAGTCCCTGGGGAAGCCTGTGGGTGGGGGTGGGGGTGGGGGTGTTCCACAGAACGGTCACAGAAAGACGTGACTTCAAGACAGAAAATTGGAGATGGGACAAGTGAGCCACAGGATGATGTATGCTCAGGACACGACCCAAACCCCTGATGTGTCTTCCCACAAGAACTGAGCAGCCCATCCAGGGTGTGGTGGCGCACACTTCTGATCCCAGCACTGGATAGGTAGAGGCAGGACAATCATTGGTGTGAAGACAGCCTGGGCTACATAGAAGGATCTTATCTCAAAGCCTCCATGAGCAGATTTTCATGAGGACACTTGGTTTTATTAGGAAATTTAGAACTATGCAACAAACACACCACCACGAACCTGACATTCCACCCAGCGGTGGGAGCCATTCAGCATGTGGAACCTCTACCCTCTGTTAAACATTTGTCCCCCAGGCCAGTCCAAAGTGCCCCGATTCAGAGTGGTACCTCAAACACTCATTGGCAGCTCTGGTGTATGGGGATGGATATACAGGGTGATGATGTTTGTTAGCCCCAGTTGGAGGACCTTCCTGAAATTTCCCGCACAATTGCCTGTCTCCCTAGTGGATTCTACCCTGTCTACTTCAAACCGGAGCCATGATCGTAAGTCCTGTCCCTCCAGACAATCTCTTCAGTTGGAAACTGGAAACCCCAAGTTGCAGAATTTGAAGGACAAGGTAGTGTCTGTGTGTCTCAGGAGACTATAGAATCTTCTAGACTCGTCTCTCTGCCTGACAGAACACTTCACCAAATGGCCTACGGGCGGGAAAAGCAATCCCATTGCAGAACTGGCCATCAGTCTGGGGAATACGGTCACTTCCATGAGCACTGGCCTGGTTTCCGCTGCAGGGATGACTTTCCACTCAAAAGCATCATCAAGCCGGGAACCTTCACCCTCTGCTCATTATCTGCCCACCATAGAGGCACTGGGTAGATGTCGGTAGTACCAGTTACAGGAGACAACACGGCATGGTTGTGGAGCGTGCTTGTCCTCCAGCTCCTCTGGCCAGCCCACCACCTCCTCTCTTTCCTACATGGCGAGAATCCAGCCCTGCCCAGTGCTTTAAACTCTGCTCAAGGGCCCAGCTGGTTGTTGCAGATGCACTGGGAAGGCCAGGAGACAATCTACTAGGGCAGAAGACCAGGTGAGGACCCCAGAGGACAGGCCCTCCAGGTCAGGTTGGAGAAACATCCGGTGCTACAGCTCCAGGTAATTTGGGATGTGGATGAGACAAGCTAACAGGTGGAGGGAACCACCAGAAAGGACTTGGGTGTGACAAGGGTGGCGACAACCTCAGGCACCTGAACACTCCAGGACATCACTATTTATTTCTCCTTGGGTTTTTATGACCCCCAACCAACCTCTTCTAGAAACAAGTGCCCGAGATTCTAGGCCTCCTTTTTTCCTGTTTGTTTTAGTAAAAGAAAATACTCCCCCCCTCCCCTCTACACAAGCGCAGAATTAGGAGCTGTTGTGTTTGAAGCAGTGCACAGCCAGGATCTTATACTCCAGGAAGTTGTCCCATTGTGTCTCTCTCTCCTGGGAAGGCTGGATTACTCATGCCCAGAGCTTCCTTCTCCAGTCCCCGTACTACAACAACGTGACAGAGAGACTCCAACACACAGAAGGCACACAGAGTTGACAGCTTGTTTTATTGGGGTCCAGACCACCTGGGCCAGCCCACAATGGGAGGGATAGTGGCCACCATGTGGCTTGCAGACCGGTTCCTTCAGTTCTGTATTAGCTCCTTGTACCCTGCAGATACAAAGTCACTCAGGCTTAGGATGGGTTGAAACATTACTTGCTAAATGACTTCTCTCCCATGGCTGTTGCATGGAAGAGCCTGGCTTTCTGATTTGCTATAGGTACCATTTTCCAGTGGGGATAGCAAGGTCCTGAGAATGCTAAGTGGCCACCATATCCTGGTCATTCTTTTGGGAGCAGCTCCTACCAGCTGAGCGCTAACCCTACAGTGGGTACTGAGAAGTTGGAGAGGTGGGTGGTTTGAGCCTTTTTCCAAGAGCTTAAAGCTGGTTTCTAATTTCCCTCGTGGCCAGGCCTGGTAGTACAGGCTTGTATTCCCAGCTACTCAGGAAGATGAGGCAGGAAAATGATAAATCAAGGCCTTCCATGGCTAGAGGGAAAATTCAAGGCAGGCTGAGCACCTCACTGTGACCCTGTCTCAAAACAAAATCATTAAAAAGGAAAAAAGCCCAGCACCTAGCATGTGACAGGGCCTAGGTTCAACACTAAGCAAGGGAGGGGGATCCCTTTGGTCCCTGTGGTTAACAGGGAGGATCCGGAGGCCAGCTCCACCAAGATTCTCAGCTGCCCCACATGCCTTCTGCTGATGCCGAATTATTATCTTCACTGGTCCAGCCAGGACCAGCTAGGTCATGTCCCTGGCTTTGGCCCATTTCCGAGGTGAGAGGCTGAGGCAGAGAGTAGACCAGGCAGCTCATCCAGAAAGAGTCCACAGCTGGACTCTCCAGGCCCCACTCCTTACTTGGATGCTCCTGACTGCTTTCCTGGGCTGCTGAGGAAGGCTGGAAGACATACTCACCGGAAGTGAGGTGGGCTCTTGCTTCAGATCCCCGGGGACGCATTCCGCTAGGCAGAGGACACAAACGAGGAGTGAGCAAGAGACCCAGGTGTGGGAGGGCAGACAGAGATCCTAGACCCAGACTTCTGTTTGGTACCAAGTAAACAACGTGTCCTGCCACAGACTGCTGGCTGCACCATCACTACCATCTGTTGCCCCAGTAACATCCCATCCGTATCCTCAGGAGGTCCATGATAGTGGCATCTACAGAGCACTTCCAAGTCACCATGCTGCAGTCTCTAATGGCTTTAACTCACTGACACCTCAGAGCAGCCTTTGGGGAAGAACATTGTTATCCCATTTGACAGATGAGGAAAGGAAGGCTCTAGGAAGGCTGGCCAGAAGCCACGCCTCTCTGCTTGAACCACTAAATTGAATGTGGGTACCCGACTGTGGAGTCTGTGCCCTCAACCCCAAGGCTCTGCTGCTTCCTCAGCAGTGTCTGTGGATACGTGAATGGAGACTCGTGACCCCGGGACAAGAACGGAACTGGTCAAATGCTGGGTCTGCTACTGTGAGCTCTGAGAATTGGGAGGAACCCAGGAGCTCTCTCAGTCCCTGTAGAAAGGGAGAGGACTTGTTCGTCTCTGAGTGGTATAGGAAAGATGCAGGGACTGAGGATGTCCTCTGTGGGCAGGAAGGATGGGAGGACCAAAATTAAGACTGGGCCAAGATGTCACTTACCTCTGTCAACTATAAAAATGATGGCGTTCTCAGGGATGCCCACACCCAGGGCCACCTCCTTGAACTTCTGCAGAAAACCGTCCCTCAGCTGTGGCTCCCGGCCTGCAAATAGAAAGCAGAGGAGATACCTAAAGTCCAAGGCACCCAGGCTGGCCAGCTAGGGTGACTGTGTCCAGTGAAAAGTGTGGAAAGGATTGAGCCATTTAGTCTTCTTGACACACTGTTGAAATATGGCTCCCCAAGAGAGAGAGAGATTGGGCCCATCATAGGTCCTGGGTCCTTGTTCAGGGCTCTTCCTGTTGGCTCTGTCTGGGCTCTGGTGGCCCTGGAGTCACTTTCTCCCTGCCCCTTTCCATTTTCATGGGTGCACATGTGTTTGTCTATGTGGGCAGCTGTGCAGGTGGAGGCTGGGAGTTGAAAGAGGAAATCAACTTCCATTGCTCTCCTGCCTTACTCATTGGGGCGGGGTCTCTCATTCAGACTCAGAACTCACTGACACCGCTAGTCTACTTTCCAGCATGTGTGGGGGTCCCCTGTTGACTGGAATTACAGGCAGGAGACCATGCCCACCTTGTGTTTATGTGGGCTCTATGAATCCCAATTTGACTTCATGGCATCAGCTGTCTCCCAGCCCCAGGAGTTCCTTCTGGAGATGAAATGAGAAGTCATCCTCACCAGGGAGACTGGGCTCTTCATCCTCAAGGCAAAACCCCTTGTCCCTCCCTAACCAGAGTTCTCGCACCAAGAAAAAGCAAACTTCCTGCTCCTTCCCCATGGTCCATAGAGTAACAGTCTCTTCCCACACCAGCTCCAACAGGCTCACTGACAAGGCCTTTACCATAGAGCTTGGCAGTGATGGTGGGTCCATGGTCCCGGGTGAACTTTTTGGTGAGGAAGATGACATACTCGTCATAGTTGGTGTGGGCCACATAGGTTTCCAAGGTTGCATTCCATTCTGTGAGGGAGACACAGGCAGACCAGAGGTGTCAGTGGTCAGGCCCTTCACCCTAGAGGCCCATCACTGTCTTCCACTCAGCACGCCTGCATCCTTCCCCACAACCACATGACCCTTCCAGGGTCTCACCTTCTCCTCCAGCATCAGCCTCTCTCTCCACCTGCTAGACAGTACTGACTTACCCAGCTCCAGTCCATCCATCCCCTGCAGGTCCATTCCTCCTTGTCTGCCTCCCTCCCTGGTTCCTTCCCTCTCTTTTGCTCACCTCCCTCTTTTTCATCCCTTTCATCCTTCTTCCCAACCTCCCGCTCTCCTTCTCTCTACCCTTCCCCATCACCTCTCCTTCCATTTCTACTCTTTCCTTCTCCTTTTTTATTTTTTAAAGAAGAGTCTCAAGCTGGGTGGTGGTGGTGCACCCCTTTAATCCAGCACTCGGGAGGCAGAAACAGGCGGATCTCTGTCAGTTTGAGGCCTACCTGGTCTACAGAGTGAGTTCCAGGACAGGCTCCAAAACTACAGAGAGAAACTTTGTCTCAAACCCCCCCACCCAAAGAAGCCCTCAAAAAACAAAAAACAAAAAAAAGTAGAGTCTCATTTAGCCCAGGCTGGACTTTCGGCTTGTTATGTAGCCAAGGATGCCCTTGAACTTCTGGTCCTTCTTCCTCTACCTTATTGCTGGGAATATAAGCATGAACCACCATGCCCCGCTTTCCCTTCTTCCTTCCACCCTTCCCCTTCCTTCTCTCCTGTCTGTCTTTCCTTTTCTTCTTTTCTCCTTTGGTCACTCCATCCACCTGTCTTCAGATGGCCCATCCACTCATCTGTCATCCCATTCATCTACTTATTGTTGCTCACCTCATCAATGTTCCCGTCCTCTGTCAACTCTCAGTGTTCATCTCATGCACAATAATACGGCACACAGAGGAGATTTCACAGACGGTGTTAATCTGTGAGTCAATTTGGACCCACATTCCTCTGTCGCTTAGAACCAAACATGAGGCCTGCGTGTGGGGAGCTGCTAACATTGGCAATCTACACCTCTCCCAGTTCTGGACAGATGCTAAATGAGAGGAGCTGTGGAGCCCAAACATTTGAGGGCAGCCTGGATGACTTCTCAGATGTGCCAGAAAGAAGGTCGCAATGGTAGGGGGGAGAGAAAGGGGAGGGAAGGGACTGTGGTGTGTCCCCACACTCACTGGGATTGTAGGAGAGGAACTTTCCATCAATGTCTGTCTTCTCATAGGTCCAGGAGATCACATCGCAGACACCTCTCCTGTCAATGACCAAGCCAAAATGTCCTTTTTGTGTTTATTTGGAAATGAATGTTTCCAAATATCTTGTTTCATAGTCATCCTAGACCTTGGAAATCCCCTTTTTATTCCTGCTTCCTGGCAGGGTGAGCAGTAAAGTCACATTGTCATCTCTGCACATTACCCTGGTGGCAGCGGTGGACCAATGCTCAGCTTTCAGTCATGGCCTGATGTCCCCTATGGGGATGATGGCCCCCTGTGGCCATCAGGAAGATCACTGAGCATTGATCATGGATCATGTAGTATTCTAGCTATTGCAGTTTCATGATCACTCCTTGACCTGTGAATAGCTCTTGTGCCACATGCTGGGGACACAGAGGAGAGCCTTGAGTGGGGTTTGCCATAATGGGGGCCACAAAGTCCAGCCAGGGCCAGATGCCAACAGTGTATTCCTAACAACATAACAAACAGTGTATACATCACACAATAAGTAGAAACACTGCACTCAAGAGGCCATGTGATGTGGCCTGAACCTGGGGGTCCAGGAGAGTTTTCTGGAAGAAATGACATGGAACTAGCATTCCAAGGACTCACAGAATTAGGCCAGAGAGGCAGGGAAATGTGCCAAGTTCTGGAGGGCTAAGAGCTTGAAGGCCACCGGGAACTGAAAGATCTGCTGCCCAGGGTTCCAAAGATCATGGGAGAGCACGGAGCAGGGAGAGGCGAGAGCTGAAAGACCTAGAGGCTGCATCAAGATTTCACTCTTTTTTTTTTTTTTTAAGATTTATTTATTTATTATGTATATCTGTTTGCATGTATCCCTGAAGGCCAGAAGAGGGAGCCAGATCTCATTACAGATGGTTGTGAGCCCCCATGTGGGTGCTGGGAATTGAACTCAGGACCTCTGGAAGAACAGCCAAAATTCTTAACCTCTGAGCATCTCTCCAACCCCAAGATTTCACTTTTAATACTGAGGATAGTGGGAAGCCATGGAAGGTTCTCTTCAGTGGGTACGGTTTCTTTATTTAAGGTCATTCTGTTTGCTGGGTGAAGACTGGATCAGAGGGAAAGAGTGAGGTTGAAGGTGGGAAGGGAAGAAGACCAGCTGCAGGAGACAGGAAGGGAGGGATAGAGGAAGAAAGGAAGGAGGGAAGGAGGGAAGGAAGGAAGGAAGGAAGGAAGGAAGGAAGGAAGGAAGGAAGGAAGGAAGGAAGGAAGGAA